ACCCGAACCTCAAGATTCCTGACATAAAGAACCAGCCAAACTTTTCAAAACTGATATAATTTTTAACCTGAACCTCAAGATTTCTGACATAAAGAACCAGACAAACTTTTCAAAACTGTTATAATTTTTAACCTAAACCTCAAGATTCCTGACATAAAGAACCAGCCAAACTTTTCAAAACTGATACAATTTTACACCTGAACTTCAAGACCCCTGACATAAAGAACCAGCCAAACTTTTCAAAACTGATATAATTTTACACCTGAACTTCAAGACCCCTGACATAAAGAACCAGCCAAACTTTTCAAAACTGATACAATTTTACACCTGAACTTCAAGACCCCTGACATAAAGAACCAGCCAAACTTTTCAAAACTGATACAATTTTACACCTGAACTATGTCGAAGAACAAAACAAAAGTTTCAAAATATCCGTGTGGTGAATGCAACATCGGTGTAAAATACTCCAGTATAAAATGTACTGGTCCCTGCAACTGCTGGTTTCATGGTGGGTGTGTCAATATCACAGAAAAACAATTAAAAACCCTTTCTAAAGAAGACATTTCCCTATGGAGGTGTAACAATTGTAGTGATCTTTCCCTCACCTCTGGAAAGCCAGCGTTACAACTAAAAGAAGACCAAACTCCCACACCCCCAAATCAAATATCCTCTGAAAGTCAGGGTAACAAAATGGGCGAGGTAGAAAACAAAATTCTAGAACTAGAAAACTCAGAAGATCCCGATTTAGAAACTTCTCTAACACTTGCAGCAGAAGTTGGAAACGCACTTCTAGCACAAAATAGCAAACTAAGAGAAGAAGTACTCAACCTGACTCAACAAAACTCGAGTCTGGCCCAGAAACTAACAAACATACAAACCATTGACATCATGAACTACCACGCTCAAATTGAACAACTAGAAGACGAGAAAAATACTATTCTAATTAGAAACAACAACCTAATCGAAACAATAACTGAACTAGAACACCAATTGGAAAAGGAAGTAAGCCTAAGAAACACTCTCACAAAAACATTTGAAGATTTTGACAAAGACAGGGAAGAAACTTTTAATAGCTTCATCACAAAAATAAAGGACATGGAGAATGAAATTAAATGCCTTAGGCAAAAAAATACATGCAGCAGAATAAACACCGGAGAAGAATCTACAAAATCATTCAGAGAGACAAGCACACAGACAACCACTACAGAGGCGAAGGACCTCACAAACAAATCCACAGTTTCAGACAACAAAAAGCCAGAAGCATCAAACACAGAAACACTAATTCTACTTGAACTAAAGGCCCTAAAAGAAAAACAGAATAATATGGAGTCAATAATGAAGAAATTAGAAGATAAAATAACAGTAGAAGATTCCCAGCACCTAACAACTGAGAAAAAGGAGACTCCTTGCAAGCCAATTAACACACCAAGACGAGTTTCATATAATAAAAACAAATTGGCAACTACTAAGAAAACCCATTTCAGTGTTTCCTTGCAAATAGCAAAAAGCAAGTTGAGGAAAGAAGCACCAGAACACCAAAGTCAACCACAACAAACACAAAATCAAAATATTAATGAACCCAAGGCCATCAAAATCCCAAAAGGAGTTTGCTCTACTTTCAAGGGCACTATATCTCCCCCAAACAAATCAACTAAACCAAAGAACACAGGGAAACCCCCGATCACCGCCAAGCTTCTTAAGCCGGGAGAGACCATTGAAGACTTCTTTTGGAAAAATATAGACCTATATAAAAAGAATATTCTGTCACACACCAAGCGACTAAACATGACCAATATGGACTGCCTCTCTTCTCAAGGAGAACAGAAACATGAGCAGCTGCAGGAACCCAATTCAAGTCAACAATCCAATCACTCTACAGTGTCCCATACTATAACCCCTTTTTTAGAAACAAACAGCCTGAAAAAAGCAAAAGAAAAATCTGCAAATCTCCAAATAATTCTTGTGTAGCAATAATGCACCAAAATATTAGAGGACTTGCTACAAAGACGAACAGACTACACCATATTCTCAATGACACAAAACCAAGCATTCTAGTCTTGACTGAACACGGACTGAAAAAAACAGAGCTAGAAGCTACAAAAATTCCCGGCTACTCTTTAATTACCCACTTTAGTAGAGAAGAACATAAACTTGGAGGTGTTGCAATATATTCCAAGGAATCCCTTGCTGATACAGTATCAGCTATTAACATATCAAACACATGCCAGGAGTTAATTTTCGAAGCAGCAATGATTCGCATGCAGACAACAAAGAAAAAGGATATCTACATTCTGGGAATCTATAGACCACCAATCGAAAATGCAAGAATTGCCCTTGACCTCCTATCAGACACACTAGAACTACAAGAAGTACACAAGAAAAACCTCATACTCATCGGTGACATAAATATTGACAGGCTCACCCAAGATTCCAAAAACACCATGCTGGAAGAAGAGTTAATCACACAAAACATCTGGAGATTTCCTCTAGAGGCCACCAGAATAACCCATGACACAGCCACTTCAATAGACTGTATATGCTCAAACTTACCATATGCGTATATTACTGGACAAGTTGTGCATACTGGTCTATCTGACCACACTGCGCAGCTGTGCCTGCTGAAAACACACCAAGAAGACACTTCCCAAAGATTTGTAATGAAAAGAAGCCTAAACAACACAAACCTAAACAATCTAAAGGCTCACCTCCATCTACAAAATTGGGAACATGTTTACTCTTCACCGAATCTTGAAACCTCCTACAACAAATTTCATAATATTCTTCAAACAGCACTGGATTATACATGCCCGTTAAAGAAAACTAAAATTAGTACAAACAAAAAACATATGAAGTACTACGATCCTGAAGCAAAATACCTTAAAGAGAACTTTTTGAAAGCTCTGCAAAAGTTTGAGTTAACGAACAGAAATGAAGACAAATTAGAAATGATTAATAGAAAAAGGATATACGACATGAAACTAAGAAACCTAAAAATGTCCTCAACAGCTAGCTTCATAGAACAAGCTGACAACAAACCAAAAGCACTATGTTATAAACAAGGAAAGGAAAGGAAAATGTGAAGAGAAAACCCTTACAGAATTAGAAATAAATGGCAAACTCACAAACGACACAAAAGAAATGGCCGAACACTTCAACACATTCTTCTCAAATATAGCAGAAAATACCCTTGACCAAAACAGAGCAATCGTTATAGACCCTGAAACAGTGCTGAATGGAGAGGAACCAGTCTGCCCAATAAACCTTACCCTAACTTCAACATCCTATAAAGAAGTTAAAACGATAATAAACTCCCTAAAAGCCAAAACATCAAGTGGAATAGATGAGTTTTCCTCTAAGATGATAAAGCACTGCTCTCAAAAACTCATCTCTCCTCTGGTTTATCTTATAAATAAATCATTTAAAGAAGGCAAATTCCCATCCGCCATAAAAGTCAGTAAAATATACCCCAAACATAAAAAAGGACCAACTGAAAATGCTCAAAACTACAGGCCCATCTCTCTCATCTCCAGTTTCTCTAAAATCATAGAAAAAATTGCTCTGGCTAGATTAATGGCACATCTTAATCATAACAAACTCTTAACTGACAGCCAACATGGCTTTCGGAAGAATAAATCTACATCCTCAGCTATAACAGCACTAATTGAGTACGTCCTAGACCAGATAGAAAACGAACAATACATTTCCGCCATCTTCCTTGATTACAGTAAGGCTTTTGACTGCCTGGGCCACGACCTGATATGCAAGAAACTCGAAAGACTCGGTATAAGAAACTCTGCGCTAGAATGGTTCAAAAGCTACCTAACGGGACGTTCACAAGTCGTGGAACTGAAAAACTCATCAAATGAAGTCACAGAAAGTTTCAAATCTTCAAAAAGCAAGCTGACGAGAGGAGTTCCACAAGGCTCTGTATTAGGCCCGATTCTATTCATCTTATTGACTAATGACTTCCCCAAACAAATTGAGAGTGAAAATGCTGTTGCAATCATGTATGCAGATGACACAACCATTTTGATCAAGGACAACACAGCCCAAAACCTTTACCTTAATTCAAAATCGATCCTAAATAAAGCTATCCTCTACTCAAAGAACAATGACTTAGCAATAAACCCCACAAAAACTACAACTCTGAATTTCAGTAAGAAAAAATACATAGTCCCTCAATTAGAGGATGTAACAATAGAAAACCTCACAAAATTTCTCGGTGTTATCCTCGATAACAAACTAACATGGAAAGAGCACATCAACCACTTAAGCAAAAAAATCAGTACTGGAATATATGTCGTCAGAAGAATAAACTACATAGGCGGACTCTCCGTGGCCAAAACAGCTTACTTCGCACTGGTAGAGTCGCATCTTAGATATGGCTTGACAGTGTGGGGAGGAACTTCAACAAAAAATATGAATCGAATTCTTGTCCTTCAAAAGAAAGCCATAAGAGCCCTCGCCAACCTTGTCCCACCACAGACTTGCAGACTAGCATTCACAAACCTAGGAATCCTCACAGTGGTGTCTCTCTACATACTTGAATCTATAAAGTATGTGAATGAAATAAACCCCCCAAGAAACCGAGACCTGCACCACTACAACACCCGTCATGGCTCCAAATTTGCACTACCAGTTCACCGAACAACTCTTTGGGAGAAAAAACCTTCCTACACCGGCTGCAAGCTGAGGAACCATCTACCTGACTACCTGAGAGACCTGACTGGCAACAAGCTACACCAGGAGTTGAAGAAGTGGCTAATCGCAAGACCCTTCTACTCAATAAAGGAATTTTATGAAAATTAACATGTACAATTCACTATTGTATTGACACTATTGTAATTCTTGATGAATTAACAATAAAGAATATTGTATTGTATTGTATTGTAATGCAGTTTTAAGCCAATAGACCCATACCGTAACAGGAGAGTGTACATTATATCTTACATTTAACAGTTTTTCAAGTTAAACATGTAGACCAAATGGTACCAACTGACCAGTAACAGCTGTTGTTTCTCTCTCAATAGCATCTCTCGCTCAGCCGCCATCTCCATCTTGAGTTTGGCCAACTTGGCATCAGCCAGCTGCTGCTCCAACTGCATCTGCTTGCTGATTCTCTCTACTTGCTGAGAACAAACATTCACTATTAAGTATGAAACCTTATGGGTAATTTTTAACACATTCAATAAAAATCTTTACACATAATAACTACTATTTACTAAGCCTACTTAATATTTTCTTTGTGCCTAACAGCATTTGAATTTTTATTGGCCTAGGTTTTCTAAGGGAACCTTCCGAAAATTAGTATTGTTGACATCTAATGTCAAGATTATCATTAAATCAATATTTGTTAGACAATATTTTTTTATTTGGACAGATCCTGTTTGAAAATTATTATCCATGAAACATTAGGAGGTTCATTGACTATAATGATAAATCATTTGGCAAACATCAAAATTAAATAGCCTTATAGCTGTTATAATCCTTCAATATTTTGTGTATATTTTTCCTGTGTCATTGGCAACCTTATTTTTAAGGCAGACATGTTTATTTATATCAATTATTATCATCAATTATTTAAGATGGGGACGCCACTATGTGCGTATTTTAACCCAAAATATGAGTGAAGGATGAGTGAAGGAGGAGTGGCGCGATCTTGTAGTCTTGTTAGTAAATAAATTCTTTTCTCTCTGGGAGATGTTTACGATTTTGCCACCATCAAGGGAACTAATTGGTGGGGGCCGCAAGAACCTTTAAATCTGGCACTGGTTACCAGCACATATTTTTAATATTCATAGCTAAATCTCATTACAGATTCACCCCAATTGTATGATTAAAGATATATCTAAGGGCCTATTCACACTGGGCCACCATGGTGGTCGGTCGAAATGTGCATAAACCACCAGCTCAGCCACCATAATGCAGCTGCAGCCGCAAAGCTCACAGTTTAATCATGGACATAGAATAAGGTGCTTTAGCATATATTTTTGAAATTGCAAAAACGTTTAAGAAAAAACATAGTTTTTGGGTTCATCCGTTTTTAAGAGATAGAAGTATCAGAGGGACTTTTTTCACTAACTACCAAGACCTTAGAAATAACCCTGACAAGTTTTAACCCCCCAGTGTGAAGGGGGCCTAATGCCTGAATTAGTTTAAATGTACCTAAAACATTACACTCACCTGCTGTCTAATCTCATATTGCTCACATATGTTCTTCAGCTTGGTGGTCATATCTATATTGTCATCTCTCAGCTTCATGTTTTTGTCATTGTTTTGTTGCATTAAAGTAGTTATTTCGTTCATGGTGGTTTGAAACTTGGCTGATACTTCTTTTCGCTTTTCTTCTTCCTCCCTGATTTTAAGTAGACTTTCATCCTGAACATGATTAAAATTTTTATTAGAAGAGAATTTTGTAACTCTGAAATATGAGTTGTTAAGCTATAAGCCTATGATGGATGTCCTATCAGCATTCATTGGGTTAGGGATAAAAGACATAATGATGTTCAGTAGGGTAGGCCTAGTGCTGCAAATGAAGGCTGTAAAAACTTCAAAAGAGCTATGTTAGGCCGGCCGCACACCTGATACAGCAAGGCACGGCAAGGCGAGGCGAGACGTCTTTGCCTCGCCTTGCCGTGCCCGATGGAGGTTTGAGATGCATACAGCACGGCACGGCAAGGTGACTTGAGCACCCACATGGTCGATCCCATGGTTTCAGTAAAGTGAGATACTGTGTGTTAATGAGGTTGTTTGTATATTTTGTGACACTTTGTACTACACATTTTGTGAGAATGGATGCAGAAGGCGAAGAAGAGGCTGCTGCCATCGCTGCTATATGGTACCATTGACTGTTGTGTTTATATAGTCAATGATGGTACCTAATGAATGTAATGGATGATCTCCCTAACAGAGAATCGTGGGTGCATCCCATCAACCAAAAAAGGAACTTGAAACCATTCATTGCAGAACTAAGAGCAGATCCGGAAAAAATCATAATTACTATTCATTGGAAGTGCACACTGATTTTGACAGGGGCTGTCACTGCGCTGAACGTGGTGTCGATCCTCGCGCATTCGCACATCGTTTTGCAGCAAGCCTTTTGCCCGAGAGACGAAAATTGAAAAGGCAGAGCAAAGCGCCGTACGGCGCTGTTTTGCCTTGCCTTGCCGTGCCCGATGATGTGTGCGGCACCCCCATTTGAAATAAAAGAAATCTAGTCGCATAAGGCGCCTTAAGGCGAAACGTCGCGCCGTGCCGTGCCGTGCCGCATCAGTTGTGCGCCCGGCCTTAGTGTGTGGCACAGTTTAAAATTACTGAAACCATGAAAAGTACTCCAACTATAGCCATGCAAACCAACAATCTGCCCAACTTTGACATCCAATATATAGGATATTGGATAGAGGGAGAGGCAAGGTGTATTAATGAAAAAATAGCTGAAAGACTTTTTAATGAACATAGGTTGATGCGTGGTGTTTGCTACATCATAGGATGGAGAGATGGAGGGGGACTATCGAGTAGGAAACCATCGTCAAAAGGATAGCTGTGGTCAGTCTCTGATATAAGGCGAATGAGGTCCTGGTCAGGTTGCACCATAAACTTATCTGCACAGGTAATCTAGTACATTTAGTCTGACCCCATCAAAGCAAAAATCTTTATTTTGAGGCAACAAGCATTCTAGTCTTGAAACTGCAGAATAACTTAGTTCTAGGTGTATAGTTCTTAGACATGACAGGAGTTAAGTCAAGTTTGTACAACCTTAATAGCCTTGTTCTGTCGCTGCAGCTCTCTACACAAGTTCTCCAGTCGGCTGCGGGTCAAGATAGCTTTGCTATGTTCAGTCTGCAGTTGTTCCTTCTCTCTCTGCAGCATGCTACATCTCTTTTCAGTCTGCTTGTGAAGCAACTAAAAATAATCAACACATAAATAAATATTTCTTATAAAATGGATAAATAGGCTAGCCTAATGTTTTTGTGACAGCCTAACTTAAATAACAAGTAACAGTTTTCACTGTGAAGATATTAACTTAAAATAGCTTTCAATCAGGGAAAACTAAAACACTGGATGGTTTCATGAATTAAGTTAGTCATGGAGACAAAGAGAAGACCCGGGGCATATAGAATACAGGGGCTGGCTCACGTCTTTAATGTAGCACTTGCCGAGATGGTACCGCTCCCCCACCTCCTGTGACGTCACTGGTCTGTCAGTTGGGCCTCCTTCCATCACGCGGCCAACGAAAATCTCACTCTTTTACACGCTCCCCTACCGTTGTACAAACACATTTCTCATATGAAACTTATAGGCTATTGTTTTATTTTGCATTAACTTTAGAATCCAAATATCCAAACAGTTTTTAGTTTACTAATGTTAAATTGGTTTTATAACAACAAACGTAGAGAAACTACAATAATAAAACTTGAAAAAGTCCCTTAGTGAGGAATATTTTTATTTTCGAGTTAGGCACAAACTTTCAGTGTGAAAACTATAGTCAATCAGTTCTTCCACAGTAATTACTTAACACTTCTTAAATACCCCTAACAGTTAAAATTAATAAATCACCTCAAAAGACCCGAAAGACGATTGTCACAACTGAGCGCTGGCGGGTAATTTTGCCGCTCGCCTCGCAATTTTTAGGTTTTTGTTATGGCAAAACTGCATCAAATACGCGGGAAATCAACTTCGCTCTTTCATTGTTATTCTCGTTTCCTGTTTGTTTCTGAAGAAGATAAAAAAAATTATCACAAGATGTAAGTGGCTAAAATCAAAGTTCAAAGTTTGTTCCTATCTCAAAAATAAAAAAATCCCCGCTTAGTGACTTTTGAAGTTCACAGGTTTGCAATCCTTATAATTTTCCCAAAAAAAAAAAACATATTATTGATCATAACTAAAATATTTTTGGACCTCAGATTTGGTAGTTAATATAGATTACAACGATATAAGTTTCATAAGGAAAATTGAATTGTGTAAATTAAGGGAAGCGTTTAAATGAGTGATTTGTATATGTACCGCGCGCTAGCTCCACCCGTGGAGGCAGCCCGGTGATGTCACAGCCACACGGCAGTAGGACCACTTTGCTAGACGTGAGCCAGCACCTGTATTCTTTAGCCCCGGAGAAGACCCCAAAAATATGGATGACCCTACATTTGTTTTAACTATTCATCTGGGTTAGAAAAAAGAAATTAGGCTAACTTAAGTTAGTCAGGAAGTCATAAAATAATTGTAGAGCTGAAGTCTAAATTCGAAATCAAACCAAAAAATAATGGTAAAACTCCAAAATTATAATCACTGAAATTAGGCCTATACCTAAGTACTAACCTGCAGTTTTCTATGTTCATCAAAAATGTCAGCGTACTTCTTGCACATGGCCGCAAGTTTTTCTTCAGTGGTATGCAAGCTATTTAATGCTCTTAAGACATGGTCTACGCTCTTATCATCTTTCTTGCGAGATTTTTCATCTCTAGAGGATCGATTCTTAACTGAAGCTTCACTTGCTGCTGATGGCAAAGAGGTCGGCCTTGGAGTCCCAGCAACAGTACTCGGTTGAGCAGGAACAGCTGGTTTAGCAACTTGAGGTGAACACTTCGCCGCAGGAGATGAGGTTTGAGATTCAGATTTGACACATGATTCATTTGCTGTCGGAGTACTGACAGTAGTCGGTGAAGGTTCTACTTTGGCAGTATCACTGACAGAAACAGGCACTTGACTCAGTACATCAGGAACAGCTACTGGTACCTACAAAGAAATGTAATTAGTGCCTAGGCATAGTTTCATAACTGTGAATCAAGTTATTTGTGAATAAATAAACATTATAATCTCAAGTTTGAAAAACTGTGACATTAAACTTGTAGGAGATTTCTTACTTACTGTAGGTTGGCTTGGGTTATTATTCGAGGTAACAGTTTCTGAACCAGTTTTACAGCCATCCATGTTATTATTTCTTCAGTATCTCATCAACAGGCTAAAACAGATCAAGGATTAATATTAAAATTACTATACCGAATTGAATGGAGATGCAAATAAGACGATCGTGATATGCAAGAATATGGATTACGGCCTAGTGTAGTCAGCTCTGAAATTACGGGCACATCCTGTTAACGAACCGTGAAAGTTATCATTAATAACACACACAACTTGTACTGTACACTAATTACCTTATTTTTTTAGTTTTAAATTAGTAGTTAACTGAAATTAAAAATATTGCCCTGTCTGTGTTTAACCGATGATTATGTTTTTGAGGTTATAACATTAACTTTCTTTTTCTTTACATACACTTTTTTTTTTCAGACATTATGCCAATTATTCAGAATACAGAACAAAATACAGCTGGGCTGAGTTTATGGTGAAATGCAGCCAATAACAAATGTATGATACGAAAATGTATAGAAACACGGAATATTTATCCTGTAAGTATTTTATATGTCCAAAAATGATATCCACAGGCTATTTTGAAGGAAGGAAATCCCTATACTCTTTCCCCTGTATAAGTTTTCCCTCAAAATACCTGACCAGCAATTTCACTAACTAAAAAAAATGTTTACAGTAATATCATAGATACAACATACTCCTATAAAACATACCTACTCCTATTAGTAGATCCCAAATATATGTTTTGTAGTAAATGGTAATGATGGACTTGTTCATTCCTTAGTGAGTCGATACAAACCATTTTCCTTCCACCATGGATACACACTTACTAATTTTACTAACTTGTAAAACCATTATACGATATAAAATAATAACGGTTTATTTATAAACGACTAAATGTCCTATAAAAAAACTGATTAATCTATGATTAACTAACTAGGAATTTAATACTAAAATAGCAGAAAACCAGTCGAGATGTACATTGGGGATGGGAATTATTTGGTTTTGCGAATTTTACTGTGCTAAGCGGACGTGGGGAAACATCTCAAATGAACCTGCGTGTAACTTCTGACTTTGAATACCGCACTGAATTTTGTATTGTTTCAGTGCCTAAATGTTACATTTTCTCCGTATGAAAATGTACACTAGTAAAACATGCGTTACATAACAGTTACATAACATGTTATTTAATTTATGAAAATTTACTAAAACCTGGATTAAAAAATTAACTAACAGTTCGAAGCGAGTTGTTAAAATTTAATCAGGCTTAGAAATGAATAGATATTTATCAAGCGATACATTATTTTTTGAGATCGTTTAAAAGTTAACTTTGATCAAACAAATTTGCAATCTCGCATTGTATTTAACGTAATTTTTACACGAAACCTGAAAAAATATGAAATTTGCTATGACCTATTTTCGTATTTTTGAAAGACATATCCAGTCTAGCCACTATTTTTATACAATGATAATATTCCTTTGTGTTTCTGCGTCTGTTTTTCTTAATGAGGTAACCGCAGGTATCTAGGTCATGTGTTATTTTAATTCTTCCCTTCTTCTTTATGTGTTATAATCTTTGATCATTAAATTCCAAATAAAAACTGATAAGGATTAAAATAGTTCAAAAATCGTGGAAATCTCACAATTTTGTTTTATTCTAGTTTAAAGGAATTTGTTTAAAAACACGTGCGTCACATTCGACCTTTTCTTATGCTTGTACCTACTTAACTTCTAAACATTACGGTAAAACACTGCTACTTACACAACTCTACTTTATAGAAAAGTAACACATTTTCACAGGAAAATATTACAATCTTTTTTATTTTTGTTTATATTAAATTAACTCAAAACTCATGACCAAATTCGGCTTTTCATTTCATAGATAGATAAATGTTATATTAGATGTTGAACATATATTACTTACTTACGTCGTATCCAACAAACGTAGGTAGTTGTACACAATGTGTCGTACCGGCAATCAAGAAAGCTTCGCACTTTTGATAAAAACTCAGAAAGGGTTAAAAGAAACTAAAAGTGTCGCAGCTAGACTCGCCAGACGTTAGCAGAGATGTGTTATTTTGGATAGAGTGTTATTTATAGATAATGCCGAAGACACTGTTGGGAAGGGGGATTAGGTGATTGTTTTGGCGCGAATTGTCAATTTGAAAAGATACACATGTTGATTTTTTTCTGCGGGATGCCTAGAAACAATCATAGTTTGATAAAACTTATTATTCTAAATTATAAGTGAGAAAGTTTGGATGTAGATAGATGGATGGATGGATGTTTGTGACAAGTAAACGCGATAAGTACTGGTCGGATTGGGCTGAAATTTGGTGTGATAGTTTACATTCCCGACTAACATATGGACGCATTCTTATCTCAAAAATCCTTTCGGGCTCCGCCCCAGTGGCTCTGGAGTTTCCCATGTAAACTTATGAGTATTCATCTTAGGAATAACAGAATTTTGTCAGCTGTTTCAACTACACAAGTTGGTTCTATGATATTAATTTTTTTTTATCAGAATTTATTTTACAATCTGTTCAAACTTCAAATATGAGAACAATATATATGATATTAAATAGCATTAAAAAGTTATAAGCAGGTTTACCAACTGGGTGCAGCACTATTATTGTTTTTTTGAATTTATGACAACATCTAATTTGAACCAAATAGCAACAAAAAGCTGTGAAAAATGAGAATTTCACTTTTTTATTGTTTAGGAGCAGTGGTAGAACATTATGGCTATGGTAGATGTGCTATACTATAGCATACCGTAAATTAAAAGAACCAAATTTTCTTTGTTACAAAATGAAATGCAAACTCAATGAAGTCCTAAGTAGGCTATTAGGAGATGAAACATTTTTTAACTAACTTAGGATATAGTATTTTTTTGTACATCAGAGCATCCAAACGTAAGAGGACGTCAAACTTTTAAATCAAAAAACTAAAAAAATTCAAGAGAATTAGTATATTGACATAAATTATCACAATATGCATTCAAATATAATTTGAAATTTTTAACCCCATGGTAAATAACATTTTTTATCAAACCAAATTTAATATTATGCAAAGCAACAGATAAATGAAATAAAAGGTATAAATTAATAAATTTCAATTTGCAATGGTAAGGAATGTCCCTAAAACAAACACGAAGGCACGACTGGGATTTTGCCCGCACTGTGAATGTAATAGCCATTGTTATATTGCAATATAAATTTAAAAACCACAACAATTTTGAAATACACATAGAATTTAATAACTCAACATTCAAAATTAAGATAAGAAATACAGTACATAGTTTATGTAATAAACTTTATTAATAATACACAAATTATTAAAATCCAAATCTTAAAGTCTGGCTACAATAAAATATTGCCATGCTAAATTAAATTTAGATTATATTTTTAATAGGCTACCATAAGTTATCAAATATTTACACATTAAAATATTATAATCAGATCAACCTTAATTTTACAGATAATTTTACATTCTTTACCTTTTACAAAACCCATTCACTTCAAGTTAGTTGCCTTTGAAGCACAAACTGTGGAAGAATAATCCAACTAAAGTTTGATCAATGTAGCATCAGACACTCCAAGCGATCGAGGATAAAATACCCCCGTTGCAGCACACATGCAGCCATAATGTTTCTAGGTTTTTGCTTGTCAAACTAATTAGATAAAGTTATTTTAAATTCAGTTAATGCCAAATTACCACTACGTTTCTAACTACTGTACAAGGAAAAGGAAAATAAAACCCATGCACGTGTTTTTTATGTATAATAAAGTTGTAAAATACAAACGAGAAATAGTACCAAAACTTTCGAAGCTATAACAAATAAAACGACAGAAATTAATTTCTCCTCCATGAGGATAACAGGGGAGATAATATAACAAACTGCTTTTAATATTTTGGTTACCAATCTAATGTACATGGAATAACTACCCATATTTTTGTGAACACCTGGAAATTATTGGATCATCTAAATTGGTTTGTAAAATATTACAACTAACTAGATTACCACCCAATATAAACACAATAGTAGTTTAGTTTATTGCTACGATTAACACACCAAGTGATTATCCATTGAATTTGAAAATACTTGAATACAATAATGCCATTATGAAATTATTAGTAGGCCTGGAAATGAGTCAGGGGGATTTTTTATATGAAGCATTTGTTATAAAACAAACTCTTTAAAGTCTGAAATGATACTAAAAAGTTGGAATCTTTCACGACAAACATAACACATTAGTAGTGTAAACCTAGTACATATATAGTTTTTCTACAGATTACTTCAAATGGGGCTTACGACCCCAACCGCCCCTCTTTGTTCTCGGCTATAACTATCTACGCAGATTATTCAATTAAAAAACATTTAAAACATATAAAAACATATAAAACATTTTAATGTTTAATCATAAAATTACGATAAAAAGTGTAACCACCTAAAAATACACATAATCTATGGCACGATTACTAGAAAAATACCGGTATGGATCATAAACATCAACAAATGACGTTTTTGGCCCGAAAAAAAAACATTATTTAACATTGGTTAAATGGAACTGCTAAAACATATGTTCAATGCTATTAGTATAGGATTCGGGCCAACAACGTCATTTTGTTTATGTTTATGATCCATACCGGTATTTTTCTAGTAATCGTGATCTATGGTATGGTTTGTATTATTAAAGTGATACAATCAATTTTTATGTAACCGGTTAAGGTCATTCACCAAATAAAAATATAGGCATATGGCACATCGAAATGAAGCTTCGAGTGTGTTGATTCGCCAAAAAGTATTGATATGGACGAATTTCCCAAGGGCTCTGCCCCACAGGCTGATTTCCAAAGGGCTACGCCTGACATGCTTCCAAAGTTTACAAGGTTTGATTTAATTTAGTTAATGAAACAGCTGGTCAGTACAATGAACCACTGAGCTTGAACTGGTGTTTGTTTATTTACTCGAAAAATATTTTGTTTTTAACTTTATTTAATTTACAATCTGTTCAAGTTGAACAATAAGCAAGTAATACAAAAATAACTTGAAGAACATGAGCTAGTGATTGACCACCGTCAACACTAGCAAACAAAGAGAATTTTGATAACACTTAGCCGAATCTGAATGGTAGGTCCAATATCGTATGTCGCTTCAGTCTGTAAACTCGAAAAATATGTTATTTTTTTATGTAGATTTAGGAGGGTTATGTTTGGTTTTAATGAAAGGTTTATTGTCAAAGTTTCATTTTGTAATTTATATAGTAAGCTACATGTAAAGAGGCTTCACGAATTATGGTAAAACATGTCATTCATGAAGCATCAATATGAAGCAATTGATTCTATTGCTACACTAAGGTATGTTGTCATATTCTTTTGGATCTATTAACATAAAAAGTAGGGGTTTGAAAGTAAGTAGGTTTACACTTTTAAATCAGTTTATATTTTCAAACTAAACCATAGAGTTGCCGTATTTTAAAACACAAATCAGAATTACTTTAATAGCTCTCTAGGTCACATTTTCTTCCCGCTGCAAAGCACGGGTATAGCAGCTTGTGTAAGACTAAAATACTAAAGAAATTAATGAGAATTTAAATTTGTCTATGATTAAAGTGATAACAAATATATACCTCTATATTATAAAACTACAGTACTAGAGAAGACATCCAATAACGCCTTCAATGTAGAGACAACGTTCCGCTTTACAGCAGTGTTACACGTGAGTCCACACAATTGCAGGCGCGCCGGAAAATCCTATTGTTGTCTTGTCGGTGTCATTTCCACGTGTAAGTAACAATACTAAGACAGACTTATGGGTGTCCAGGTTTCCATTAGTTGGACAAAAACACTCAGGCTTTAAAATAGACTTACTTTTTGTTGTGTATTTTTGAATGTGAATGTAAATAATTTAGTGGTTTGGATTTCTTCATTAAAAGTAAGTTCTTCTTGCTTCTTGCTTTAGATACTGTACCTATATTGTTTGTTTTCTTTGATGTCTGACAGATACGGTGAGCTAAAAATTGCAGGGCATAAAATTATCAAAAAGTTTAAAATATCGGTGACTGGTGGTATTTGGATCCGTGATTACTGAACTGATGTCTCACTGTGTAACAACAATTCTAGACGAGGCAACGCCCTCCTCTGTAAAAATAATATGCTATGGTTTTTACAATACAATCGAAAAAATATGATTTACAATCGTCTATTTGAAATAGTTATTAGTACAAAGTAACTCGTAATAATGTTTAAGAACTAAGGTATTTTTGTCAAACTATCAATTTTCAATTTCAAAATACTGTAAGACAGGTAAATTAAATCGTGATTTAAACCTTATTTAAATTTTTTACAATTTATGATTTGTAAAGTATGAAGGAGTAAAAAAATAAATAGTTTAGAATTGTCGAAATAAATTTAAAGGAAGTGTTCTTTTGGAAGTATTTACAAAATTTGCTGAACGATGAAATCCATCCAAACGGGTTTTTGGTTTTTTGCGTCTTCTCAAAGATGTTCGTAGGGAAACCTTTATCTTGCCACCATCCAGATACTACAACATTCATTGACAGCCCAATGGGGAATGGAAATAAAATCACGAACGCTTTCGTCTACTGTAGTAAATATTTATGCTAGAAATGTTTTCAAAATTAGCAGCGTTTTACCAACGCATTCATATCATTATTTTGTTTTCGTTCAAGATAAAGACATTATTTTAGGTTCCTTGCAATATTTAAACCCTGGTTTTTTGCCGCCTCTCACAAAAACTTTCTCCCCTCGACCGGCGCCGTCTGCGCGAGTTGAATGCGCAGAAGCCTCAATTCCCGCGCGTTCACAGCCATTTCTCAGTTTGTTTACATATTTGTTGTGGACAAGTGATCAGCTGATAAGTTACATTTCATCTGAGATCAGCTGTGTTGTTTCATTGTTGGCGTGGACTGTGGGGTTTTGATGTGTATTGCAAACTTGGCGCGATGAGGTGTGGTTGTGTTTTTGTGTGAATCTTGAAACTATACCCAAGTTTGGGGACACCTGTTGCTGTTGTGCTCGAGACCCAAAATGTAGGTGAGTTTGGGCCATTTTGAATTTGACATAGATTACGAAGTGTGTTTGGTATTCTATTAAAATCGTAATCGTTGGTTGCATAAATAAAAGATTATTATTTGAACTTTTTTAGGTCAAATTGGGAAAACAAATTAACCTGTGGCAATAATTTTGGTTAGGCCTACCAAAAGTTATTCAGTGTCCTATCACAATAGCACTTTTGGGTATTGGTTGATTTCTGCATTTCCTTAAAACGCCCCTACAATTTTTAATTATTGTGGCAAAGATTATTTTGAAAGATCATATAAGTTAACAGTGGAACGACTGTATTTCTACTTATCAATAAAAAATGAGCTAATTTCTGAATATAGATTTACGAGGAATATGGAAATTGTTGCATTACTTTATGTAGGTTAGTAGGCTATTTAAATACGTTCACAACAAAATACAATCGTATGCATAAAGTGCATATTGTTTCAAAATTCAATGGTGAATGAAAACTGTAAGTTTTATATTGTAAAAGGGTTAAAAATGCGTGCCTATGGCAAACAGCTAGTATCATTAACATATAGGGTATACGATAGGTTGAGGTGGTATTGATATCGATATAGGTAATAAGTGTTTACCTAAATCTCTCCAAAGCTACATTGATCAGATGAACCCTTAATATTCTTTAGAGTTGTATAATCGTCAAAACTGCTCTATTTACAACAAGGAAATCGTGTAATGGTTAAGTAAACTATTAAGCAATCGTTAAGAACGAAAACTAATCGCAAATTAATTGTAAATTATATTGATTTTGTTGTAAACTAATTGAAATGACAGTTAACTAGTTTACAACTATTGTTACAAACTTAAAGGTTTAATTTGTTTGTGTCTACTACAGTGGTATTTTGAATGCAACAAACACAGAGATTTGGGGAAAACCGTCCAAACTTTTAAAATGTTTGGGGATATGACGGGATCGAACCCATCAGTTCCACACCGAAATCTGATGCACTAGACGAGAATCACTATAAGAGATTTACATCATAAATAAAAATACACAAAATAATTTGCTCTCGTAAATAAGAAACTGCTTAGTCGAGGGAATTGTTGTTGCCTTCAAGTTGCGTAGTAAAGTAAACATGGTCCAAAGGTCAAAATTGATTCGAATTCTAAATACATTACAGCATAAAAGAAAAGACTCCAAAAAAATAAAACACTCGAGACCATGCCACCTTCTGAATACATGTATATAGCAAGTCTATAGATAGAGCTTGCCCTGTAATCATTTAGATGTGTCAATGGCCTGCTGTCAATTGCATGCTTTAAATACTGCCTTTCTGGGATCAAAGAGTAATCAAGGAAATACATAAAACAATTGCATCTTTTCATTGGGGTAGTTCTTCAAAACATAGTCATTTCTCCTTCCCTCAATAAACCTATAGGTTAACTTTCAGCTTTAAGGTAGGCTCAGAAACATCGGGCAACACATCATAACATTAACTGTGAGTTTCGAGACTAGTAAGATTATAACCCGGACTGCTAGGACAGAGCGATATGTTAATCACTCAGCAACTAGTTCCAGCACCAAAATAGTTGCTAAGTGTGTGGATTGGACATAAGTGTATCTAGTATTCGTGGTATTTACATAACGTTCAATATTTTCCGGCAATCTGGAGTCTATAATAATGAAAATAAATCGTGAAATTTCTTTCAGACTTCGAAAAGTGTGGTGTTATACAGATCACTTACACATAAACTTCTAACAACCTGTGTGGCCGTATCGTCAGTTTAAAACTCGCACTTTATTTTAAGCTTATTCAAGCTAACCAATAACATCAACAAATCACGAACGTTATTCGACCAAAAATATTTCTGTCGTGTTCAAAATGCTACGATCTCTTGGGTTGCACCATAAATTCGTCTGCTAAATTTGCATTTGGAAAGACATAATCTAATGCAGTCACCAACGGACATATCACGCTACTAGTGACCAAAACAATGTTTTGGTTTCCATAAATACATCTCGATCTCAAATTAAATCCCATAAATTCCCACAGACATCCACGTGTGGTAGCTTCAAGTGATCGGCGCCCATTGTTTACAAGACCCAACAGCTTGCAAACGCTAAGTGAATCTTGTTTACAAATCATACACTGTAGGTTGTTTATTGTTAATTGCCGAATTCTAACATTGTCGTACATTTGCGAACATAACTGATCGTAGGTCAATGACTGGCTAGAGCCAACGAGCATATATTAGCTTTATATTATGTGCTCGTTGGCTAGATCCAGTGAAAAATTGGATGTGTAAAAAATTTTACTGAACACTTTGTTTTCTATCCAAAGTATCGGATCCTGAGTGATAAGATCATTTTGTAATTCTAAAATGTCGAAATCTGCCTGATACTAGGGGTTGAATCTAACAGATTACATTTTTCTTGGTTCAGAGATGTTGTATAGCCTTCCGTAATCCCGTGGTACGGAGCACTTTTTAAGATTTAAGATTTAAGCTGTCCACAAGTAGAAGATCGGTCTCGTAAGGGAAGGCGAGGACCATCTTTGTACTGGCAATATTTCTACATTAAAATCCATACGATACAAATAAAGTGTGAAGATAAAGTATAACATCTTTTGATTAATTTTCAAGTTCAAGTGGAAATATTAACTTCAAAAGCTAATCCTCTAACTTTAGCCCCTCAAACATAACTTTTCACTTATTCAAAATACGATTTTCATCTGTTGCAGATTTAGGGATTTAGGAGATGGATCGACGCTTAAGAAACATCCAGTATTCTTCGGTTAAAATCGAACTTTCAGCCATCTACCAGTCACTGGAGTTCGAACAGAAATTTCGAAACGAAATTGAAATGGATTCACAAATTGCATCACACCTTGAAAGCTCTCATTAGAGAAGACAAGTCTGAAGAGTTCCATCAATTTCTGAAAATTTCTACCGAAGATGGATCTCCCCAACGGCACCTTGGTCGCCTTCGTCTCCGGGTTCCCCAGGAGGAACTACACCTTGGAGGTGGCTCCTAGTCATGACTCCCGTCACTTGAGTGTCACAGGGCAAGTCATCATCACCGCCTTTTACCTCGTGGGTCTGGTAGGCAACTTGGCAGCTCTAGGGTTCCTCTACCGCTCAGAGTCCAAACCTCGCAACCCCAAGCACGCCTTGATGCTGAGGTGCCTGGCTGCCAACGACCTGGTGGCCATTCTAGGGATGATGACCCAGATGAATCTTCAGCTGTACTTCCCCGCGCTGGCCCACAGCAGGTCCTTCTGCCAGTTCAGGGTGGTCTGGAGGATATTCGGCCTCGGCAGTGGATGCGTGGCGATCGTCATGGCTATTGAGAGGTGGTTCGCGTTCACTAGACCGTTCTTCTACCAGAAGGTAAGACATTGATTTTGTACGTAGGACAGCAATTGTAGATTTCTGTAAGAGCACTTGCTAATTTTTTAAAGATTGTAGTTTAAGTTTTTGGCTTTCAATGATTAAAGTAGGCTTCTCATTGTAAATCTGGAGCATATTAGAATGTTTACTGTTTTCATGTATCCAAGTCGTTGCCCTTCAGTACTAATTATTGCAACCAAATGTTTTTCAATTAGTGTGGGAAACTTTACAGTGTGCGTAAATTGTTCAGTCTTTGGTGTACCAGAGGACAAGCTAACTGTTCACTAAATCGTCTTCATTTTTCGTGGTGGTTTTTAAGTTGTTGGGAAAGTAACAAGAAATAAATTCAAGCTCAATCTACATTTACCAACAGAAATTATGTTCCTTTCGGGGAATTTATATTGCGTTTATTTGAGGGTACACATTAACAACTATTGAGGATTCAACAAAATATCTTGCTGAGGTTTTTGTTGTTTAGTAAAACAATTCTCCTGTTTTACATGTTGGAACATGAGGGGAAATTATCAAATGGCTTCAAATCAAATGACGTTAACGTTCTGTTATTAATTATTTTGATGTTAATTGTTAAGGTTGGGCAACGAAATTATTTTTGTTGTGTGTTTTTGTTTCTAAATTCAAACAATTTTAGTTACCTTTCTGAGTTTAATACTGGAAAAAGGAAGTTCAATGTGCTCAATCAAATGATGAGATGTTTTTCATCTCGTGTTGTTGAGAAATAAATTAAAACGGAGACTTATCCTTAAAAATATAACAGAATGGCCCATGATGAGTTTTTCTCTGAAGTATGGGCACTTGCCGGTTATTTCTGTTTATCAAGATTACTTATGGACTTTGTTTATTGAAACAAGTAACATCGGAAAGCTTATATTTAGTGGAGGTTTGAACTGTTTACTACACACGATTTTACTATTTACTGAATTTATCTTTCATGTCCCCTAGATTATTTGTCAAAATATCGCTGCTATAGCACAATTAAAGGGTTGTTTTCTAAAGTGATTCCGATTAAAACCTTAAATGTTATTACAGAAATTACTATTTATTTAGAGAATGATAAGTTTTATATTTTATTAAAAAAATTACAGCTATTAATATTTTGAAGTTAACATTAAATGTTTTATAATAACTTTTAAAAGTTAATTCAATACCTAGTTTGTTTGAAATTCATACCGTTAATCTTCAAGCCCTTGACAAAAAACTACCCGGTGATCTTCCCGGAAAACTTAAGACGTATATGTCAGTATGTACAACTAGTATATGCATATATGTGTAATTAATTGCTCTAAGAAAGAAAATTGGAATGAACTCTTATATTACTCATCAAACACAGCTTCTTATCTAAAATTAATATGGAAACCCACATAACTAATATACTACAGTATTATTATTTCAAACTTTCAACCATCCGATATTGCGTAAAAATATAAAAAAACAAGGATGGTTAAAAAAGATATAACAATTTCCGGTTATTCTGTCCGTTCTGAAAGTATTCTGTAAGTACAGTTCTTACCAAGAAGCAATCTCATTCCAGAACAGTCGATTTGGCAAGTTTATTGGACAAGAAAAATGGCGAATATCGCCTACATTTCCATCGGCAAATTGGGGTTGGGTTTCAGGGGGAAAAGGTGTCTGACATTTCTGTATACGTCATCCAGGGGCTATTTTTGACTTAGTGGTTTGGACTAAAAAAGTAAAAGATTTTTATCTACGACCTTTTTTTAAATAGTCGTTTCAATTCAGATATTAGAATTATTTTAAAATATTGACTTAACAGCATTGTTTTTTTTTGTTTTTTTTTTTTTTTACTTAACAACACGGGTAACGGACCAATGAGTTCAGTGATTGAGAGAAAAGGGGTAAAAAAATGCTGTAATACCTTGAACGTCAATTAATCAGCTGTTTAGGCTAATTTTATTGTTGAGTGGTGCAATCAGTGTCAATGAGAGGTTATAAACGAAAACATTACCTCTCTTAAGTTATCAGTAGTGATTACCTATTAGTAATTAAAACACTGTCGTAGGTAAAGTAGTGAACGCAACTCGCGTAAATAAATAAATAAATCAATAAATATATCTTTATTGTCACATAAACGTTTTACAGATTACATAGCATAAGCTACTAAAACAGGTGACATTGTCAATATAATCATATATCATAATAAGTACCTAAAATACTAAAAAATAAACAATGATTCTTAGAAATAATTATTTGGGTTATTTTATAAAACATAATATTTGCTAATTAAAAAAATTACCATCATTCAAAAAATTCGTCAATACTATAATATATTTTGTTTACAAGAAAAGAGGCAAGGCTGCTTTTAAAAGACGTTTTGTTTATTAAATATTTATATTTTGGTTGCAGTTTATTAAACAATTTCTTTCCCATATATTTTGGTGTTTTTTCTATTAATTTTAATCGGTGAATCGGAAACCGAAAATTCTTTTTGAAACGGGTGTTATATGGATGGTCAAAATTCTCCGCACATAAGTTTTCAAAATTTGACTGTACCATTAATAAGGATTTAAAAATGATTAAACTTGGTACAGTCATTATATAAAGTTCTTTAAAAATTGGTCTACATGAATGTTTTCGTTTAGCAAATGTCATTATTCTTAAGTATTTTTTTTGAACTTTAAAAATCTTTTCTATTTCTGATGAGAATCCCCAAAATTCAATCCCATAATGCAATATTGAATAAAAATAGGCATAATATATCATTAAACGTGTTTTCATATCGTCAAATAGTCTTAACTCCACTCGTATAAGTTTTTAAGGTACTAGCCAAGGATCGTACCTCAAACTTTTCTTTACGCAATCGTTGCGTGAACTTACTATTAACACACTACTGTATTGTAATGCGTGACAAATTTTGTGTCATAATCAGCTACAAAATTGTCCGGGTATTTTACTGTAAAGTACAATTCCCTATTTTTACTCTGAGACGTAATGAAGGGGGTATAAGGGGAAAGTTTTGTTGGTTGATATTATTTTGTACATTTGCTTAAAATTTGTCATCCTTATTAATGCTGAAGACTATTTTAAGATTTGGTCCGGTACAGTGTGTGAATATTCCGTTTCATTATTTTTAAAATAAACTTATTTTATTAATACAACTGGCATTCTATTCCAATTCTTAGAGTCGAATAAAAATACAAAATGTTGTTTATATTTAGGCTACCTTTTTTTAAACGCTTAGGAACTAACCTACTGCAAAAGTATGTCTTACTTACAGCACCAAAAACTTAAAATTGGACTAAAAGATTGGACAGAGGGTTAATAAATTATTTTGTGCATGTTCATATGAATTTTAAATTTGTATTGACATATTACCTGACGATTACTCAAAAAGTTGAATGAAAAAAGTGAATTTCTTCATATATTACTCAATTGGCACAAATTTCGAAATTGTCACCAAACTAGTCTCAGAATTTCGTTATCGACACCTTTAGTTCTTGTGTAACATTACGATTTATTAGTACCCTTTACTATTTAGTTAGACGAGACATGGAAAATGAAAAACTGTTCCTATTATTCGAACTGACCTGAAACAACAAAACAGTTCAGGTTATTTCGATTTCAATTTCTGTTGTACAAAAATATTGAGACTGTACAAGTCAAATGGAAATGTCATCAATAGTAATCAGCATTTATATTGATTCATCAGCGAAGCATACTGACTAGACGGTATATTGTAGATTTGTCAATCTGTATTCTGTCAATATATTATTTTTGTGGTAGGTCAAGTTATAATCATGAATATTCAATTTCTTTTAGAATTGCTTGATTGTTTTGAATTTAAAGGGAGCGACCTTATGGAAAAATACATTTGGATGAATACCTGATAACTTTATAGAATATAATTTTGTAATCTGGAATTGTTTTGTATTTCTGACGTTTTTAAAGAGAAAAATGTTTACTGAATCAACAGTAATAATAGCTGAAAAATACCTACCAATATATTTTCATTGATTTGTATAGCAAGCAAGAAGATTAAGGTTAATTCTAAAGTATGAAGAGACAAACTGCACGATTTAAAACCTCATATTCATGCATCGTTTGTTTTGATCGTAATATCCTTTTATAGTTTGTAAAATAACGAAAAATAAACTTTATTAGCAACGCATACGCATCCACGCGTCACCGGACCTAAATAATTCCGAAAGTTGATACATAATGGATATTGATATAAGAGAGTATGTTTAGTTTATTCATCATTTATACAAAACGAACATGTACAAACAGGAAATATATTTAGAAAATTATACCTATTTCAATACATATAATCCAAGACATTCTGTATAAAAATTCTAGGACTACGAACAGAAATTCACATAAATATGTGATTTATAAAACCAAGCTTACAAAACCGTATTAATTCAGAAATATTTAGATTATTTGTTTCCAGTGAGGTTCTTCATGGTTATTTATTGTTTCAAAATTTAAACAAACAAAAATGGTAAAATGTAAATGAAAAATGGTTAAAATGGTAAAATAAATGAACCTAAATGTCAATTTCCAAAAGTTGTTCGTAATGTCAAACGGAACCATTTTAAGTAAAGTGTTTTATCTTTAGGACAGTCAGTCACAACAAAAACACAGTTTGTTCTAACAGCGTATAATAAAACTTATATCATCGGAATAGATGAATTTCTAAGCCTTCGGGCTAGATTGGAAACATAAATTTAACAATAACGGTGGACAGCATGCCTATTACTTAATCTTGAAACAGGTTTTGTATTTGGAGGTCTGTTGAACATTTCTTCCTTTCTCCTACTAGACCTCTCTTGTATTGGCTACTTAGTAAACAATCAGGTAATCAAGTCAACAGATTCATTTGAATTGTATGGCAATGAAGTCTCTAATGTAAATATATAAGCCTTACTATTCATGATAAAAATAAAATATCCCCTCGTTGAACATGAGAACGATTCAATGATTAGAACTTGGTTTAGTTTCTTGGTGATTTGTTTTCCTTAAGA